CCACGTGTACTAGGGATAAGCAAAAAAAAAAAAAAACCTATGTCCACTGAGGGGTGTGTATGTTGTCAGATTGACTATGTGCTGTGGACTGGGGACATCCCGCCCCATGATATCTGGAACACCACCCGCAAGAGCAACATAGAGATCCTCCACTCTGTCTCCAGAATGATCAACAAGTACTTGGGCAAGGTGCCCATCTTCCCCGCACTGGGCAACCACGAGAGCTCTCCAGTCAACAGGTACCTCCCAGCTCTCTCCCTGCTGGAATTTTCTTGATAACATATTGTTACGATGCTTTTCAGCTGTCATTGTTTGTTAACAAGGTTTTTAGGAGGACAATATGGGTTCTCTGTGGATTAAGCTTAGTTTGATATACTTTAATACAAGGGTCTTAAGGGGATTAATAATTATATACAGTAGATGGACTTGCCTTATTGTCTGCCTTGAGAATGATCCTTCTTGGCATTCCTATCAATGGAAGGATCCTTTAACTCCGCATTTATATCATTTACCACTTCGGTAAAAACGCCTCTTATCGCCTTTCTACGCCTTCTGCTAACATCCTCCATCTTATCCTCGCTAGCTTTAGTCTTGTCTTCCCAGATATGCCCAGAGGCAATTTGCCACGTCTTCTCTATCCACAAACTGTTCTTTCTTCCCCACACTGGAATACCATCCTGGTGCCTGTTCCCCTCCCAACTGGGCCATTCCCTGCAGCTGAAGTCCATCCATCTTTTCCCAACTTCACTCTGAGATCTTGACCTCTAAGATAGCGTGTCAAGCCATTGAAGATAGAAAATAATAACAAATCTACCCCAATTGCCCTAAATGTAGCTTGGCACCTACAGCTCCAGAACACATTTGGCTTGTATTAGATGCACTAAACAGGACCTTTGGGAGAGGCAGCTGCTTATCGTAAAATAGCTCGAGAGGTATGAACTAATGGGAACTTCCTTCCCTCCTTCAGTGCCTTCCTCTACTGAGGGACATAGTCTCTGCATACTTCCTCCGCCTTCATCTCCTCATGTCGTCCAGTCCATTGTTTTAGATCGTCTGTGTATCCCTGTCTTCCCCTCAATCTCTTCCCCCGGAGCTTTCCCTCCAACACTGTCAGCAATGTCTCTCCTGCTGATCCACACATCACATGTCCAACAAACGTCAGTTTTCACAACGTTCTTTACCCATTCTATCGAGGACTTGATTATTTGTTACAATATCTGTCCAAGGAATTTTGAGAGCTCTTCTGTAAAGGTTAAGAAACAACAACATTTTATAATGCATATAATAATTAAATATAGCTTATATAATATGTATTTGTGTAAAATTTAAACGATAAATGGCAATTGAATTTAATTTACTAATATATATTTGTTATGAAAAAAAAAAAAAAACATATGTTGTGGAAGAGCTTTGCTCGATGCAATACCTTGAAATTATATGTATGTTCCTCTACCGTCCTATAGGCTTATGTCCATAGTTCACTAAACACCCTTAAGCTGCCTTCCATAGATACTGCAGGGTATATTCCAAACCAATCCAATACAATAGTAGAGCGGTCTAGAGATTAATTTGGCGAAACTGCTGAGAGGGTTCACTACTGATGAGCCAAGCCCTCTCATTCAATAACTCATATCATTGCAGTAAGGTCTGTAGATATAATATTTGATGATATTTAAAGAAAACGCATTGCCAGTAAATTTATTTGTGTAAAATGTTAACGATAGATGGAAATTGAATTTAATTTATATAATATTTAATTTTTTTTAAAATATCTAACTATGGCCATATTGACTTGATACTTACACAGGAAGCCAAGTTCAAAACCCAATATATTGATGCTTTCATAGCGCTCTTGTATTATCTATAATTTTGTGTTTGTGAGAATGTTCCCATTAACATAGTACAGTAGAACCCCCATGAAAGGACACCCATGCTAGAGGACACCTCTCTACAAAGGACAGTTTTTCATTGTCAAAATAATCATTTTTACTATTTAACAAATTTTTGATAAGAGGATATCTCTTCATAAGGGACATTTTTGCTCTGCAACTAGGTGTTGTCCTTTACATAGATTTTCTATTGTATACCATTCCTCCAGCCATATGTTTCCAGTAGATGGTCAATGAAGATGTGTGCAGCTTCCCCATCCCAGAAATTGTTGGCAAGAATTCCATCTCCTGGCTCTATGAAGAGCTGGCCCTGGCCTGGAAACCTTGGCTGCCTGAACAATCCCTCCGCACCCTGCGCAAGTAAGCTCTCTTCTTGATTGTGTGAATCCACTTTGTTTTCTTCGCCAACATCAATAATTTAATACAAAGCAAAAACGCGTCATCTATATATATATAATGAAAGGAATTAAAGGCACGAATGTTCATTTTATACACAATACAAAACTTCTACTGTCCTTACTGTGATGAAAAAATATATTTGGAGGGCTCTTGGCTTATCACTGGTGAACCCTCTCTGCAGTTTAATCACCAATTTAATCCACCAGACCACTTTTCAGAGCTCTAATATTGTATTGGACAAATCTGCTTATATAGAAGTTTGTATTGTGTATAAAAGAAACATTCGTGTTTTTAAATCCTTTCATTATATATCAGTAATTTAAACTTACATTTATACCTGATGTACAGTAAAATCTTGATAAAATGAACCTGAGATATAGTGAACCTTCCCTTATAATGAACCTGAAATAATCCCCATTTTAAAAAATTTAATACAGTGAAATATGGCTATAATGAACAATGGCTATAGTCTTCTTCTTCTTATCTCCACTCAATCACACTAAGGTATCAAGCTTGTAAAGCTTGAGATTTTTTATGGTGTCTGCCGGGGAAGAGTAGAGCTCATCAATGGATGAGTCAATACAGTCAATAATATGTCTCGGGGTTGTAGGTTGACACTTAGTACATAGTGGGAAGACCCTGCAACCATTCTGGAAAGTCATTGTCCGTTGATGACCAGACTTAAGTCTGGAAATCAAAGACTGTTGTTCTCTTGGAAGGACAGAACCGGTGCTTGTCCCTCCTGCTCTGTACCAGTCATGTGCAGCATCAGATTTCCATTCCTGCAGGCATTGGGTATGGCTATAGTGACTATAGCCAGCGAACCACAGGTTCAGTCCCATTAGAGTTCACTATAGGGGTTTTACTGTATGTATATTATTTTACTTGCATTTTGTGTGTAGATTTTAAACTCACATCTACAAGCTTGATACCTTCATTTGATTGAGTTGAGATAAGAAAGAAGAAGAAGTAAACTTACAAGATAATAAGACTTAATCCAAATAATAGTGTGTGATGTTTCGGTAACAGCGTTTTTACCATCATCAAATAAAAGGATAAATGAGAAAAAATATCACAGCATGTGTTCTTAAATAGTACTGCTATCAAGTGTGTAAATAAGATAGCAGATAAGAAAAAATAGTTTTTTGAGAAACCCTAAAATATTATTCTTAGAATTAGAAGTGGATTTTTTTAAAAACATAATTAAAGGCATATTTGTAAATATCATTGATATTGTCTCTTTCTTTCATTCATTCCAAACATCACACACTGTAATATATTTGGATTAAGTCTTTTACTTGTATTTTCTATAATCTATAATTCAAATTGTGCCTTACCAAGAATAAGACCTATTCAGTTCACCACATCAGCCTTTGAATCAAGAGAAAAACCCCACTTTGCTGTCACATTTACAGTAGAACTACCTCTCTGTAAAAGACACCTGTGACTTTCCAGAATGGTTGCAGGGTTTTCCCACTATGTACTAAGTGCAATTCTCAGCCTGCAACCTCAAGACATATTATTGACTGTATTGACTCATCCATTGATGAGCTCTACTCTTCCCCGGCAGACACCATCAAAAATCTCAAGCTTTACAAGCTTGATACCTTAGTGTGATTGAGTGGAGATAAGAAAGAAGAAGAAGAAAAGACACCTAATTGCAGAACCAAAGTTTCCTTTAGGGAGAGGTGTCCTCTTACCGGAGAGTTGCTAAATTGTAAAAATGGTAATTTTGCAAATGAAAACTGTTCGTTTCTACTGTATTTGGTGTGATGTTGTTATAACAAGGTTAGATTGTATAGTTGCTATACAATTTGTAAGGAAGGTGATATGTTGACAAAAGAATAAGCACATTTCTGCCATCAAAATATCTGACAATTCATGAACCTTTCATCTACAATATAACCTATTCAGTGGCTCATCCATTAATGAGCTCTACTCATCCCCAGCAGACACCATCAACAAGCTCTACAGGCTTGATATCCTAATATGATTGATGGAGATAAGAAAGAAGAAGAAAAAGACCAGTTCACCCCATCAACCTTGGAATCAAGAGAAAACCCCTACTTTGTCATTACATATATTTTGATGGGAGAGAAAAGGCTTGCAGGCTTGATACCCTGATATGATTGAGTGAAGATAAGAAAGAAGAAGAGACTCATCCCCAGCAGATACCATCAACAAGCTCTGCAGGCCTTTTACCCTGATATGATTGAGTAAAGATAAGAAAGAGGAAGAAAAAGACCATCAACCTTGGAATCAAGAAAAAAACCCTACTTTGCCATCTCATATATTTTGATACCTGCAACCCCAAAACACATTATTGACGGTATTTACTCATCCATTGATGAGCTCTACTCATCCCCAGTAGACACCATCAAAAGTCTCAAGCTTGACACCCTAATTGAGTGGAGATAAGAAAGAAGAAGAAGAAGATATAAACACTAGGTAATAAGACAAATCCAAATAAATAAATAGTGTGTGACATTTCGATAACAGTGTTGTTACCGAAACGTCACACACTATTTATTTATTTATTTGGATTTGGTCTTATTAACTTGTAAAACGACATTTGAAAATTATCCCGCATGTGTTTCTTTTGGACGAAAAATCGAAATTTATTTTTAAGGAGAAATAATGATTATTTCCAACCTTAAGGATAAGGTATGAAAGGATGAATTGTGAAGAGTAATGATAAACGGAAAAATGAAGTGTCCAGGGATGGGAATCGAACCCACAGTGTTCCGCTTACCGGGCAGATGCCATGTCCACTAGGCTACCCTAGACATATTTCCCTGTTCGTAAATATTATATAAAGTAATTTATAATACAATATAATGCGGCTTATGATTGTAGAACGAAGTTTGAAAATTATCCCGTAAACGTTTCTTTTGAATGAAAAATCAAAATCCTATCACACTTCATCCCTAAGGTTCGAAATAATCGTTATTTCTCCTTAAAAATAAATTTCGATTTTTCATTCAAAAGAAACACGTGTGGGATAATTTTCAAATGCCGTTTTACAATCATAAGCCTCATTATATTATTACCTTGTGTTTATAATCTTTAATTCAAATTGTGCCTTATTAAGAATAAAATATATTTTGATAGGAGAGAAAAAGCTATTTTGTTAAAGGGTAAATTGTGTGAGTGGGATCTCTGTGAGGAGAGAGTGTAGCTCTGTGGTGTGTGTCCAGGGGAGCGTACTACTCCGTCACCCTCCAGTCCAACTTCAAGATCATCTCCATTAACACTAACTACTGCAATAACCTCAACTGGTGAGTTCTTCCTCACTTTATAATTGTGTCTTCTTGTGTCTCTTAAACTTACTAGGACTTAGTAAGTCTTCATCTTTCTACTATCAAGTACAATGAACAAAAAAAAAGATGATAATAATAAATTAAAAAAATTTTTTTTTTTTCCACTTTTAATTCTAAGAATTATATTCTGTTTTTCTCAGAAAACTATTATCCTTCTTATCTGCTATCTTATTTACACACTTGATAACAGTAACTATTTAAAACATGCTGTTGTAAAAAAAGAGAAAATAAGACCTAATCCAAATAATTTATTAGTATGTGACGTTTTGGCAACAACATTGTCACCATCATCAGACACAAAAGAATAAATTATAATTATTAATAAATTAAGAAAAAAATATTTGCATTAGGTCTAATTTTCTTTTATTATAATCTATAATACAAATTGTACTTTATCATGCTGTTGTAAAAAAAGAAAATAAGACCTAATCCAAATAATTTATTAGTGTGTGACGTTTCGGCAAAAACATTGTCACCATCATCAGACAAAAGAATAAATGGATTAGTGTGTGACGTTTCGGCAACAACATTGTCACCATCATCAGACAAAAGAAATGTTGCCGAAACGTCACACACTAATCCATTTATTCTTTTGTCTGATGATGGTGACAATGTTGTTGCCGAAACGTCACACACTAATAAATTATTTGGATTAGGTCTTATTTTCTCTCTTTTATTATAATCTATAATACAAATTGTGCTTTATCATTCTGTTGTAAAATTCCTCATTCAGTACTTTTGTCTGATGATGGTAACAATGCTGTTACCGAAACATCACACACTATTTATTTATTTGGATTTGGTGTTTTACTACCTTAATGTTGATGACAGTTGATCCTGTGTGGTCCAGGTGGCTGCTGATCAACACCACCGACCCAGCCAATCAACTCAGGTGGCTCATCAACGAACTGCAGCTCAGTGAATTGATAGGACAGAAGGTTTGTCACCCTACTTCTGTCAGCATCCCTGGCACTGTTTCATAAACTACATTCCTTCTTCTTTCTTATCTCCACTCAATCATATCAGGGTATCAAGCTTTGACAACCATCATGACTGGGTGAAGTAGAATGCATCTGCCTTTGTCATTTAGACTGGGAGCACTGCTCAGTGGCAGCCCGACTTAGCTCCAAAAGAAATGGCTGTCTCTGACATGAGGAACAGACGCTGTGTGCAGCCGCTCCTAACATGGAGTACAAACGCTGCTCATTCTGTATCCCTGAAGCCCTTACAGGGTACTATCAGCCGGGCCAGCTGAACCCAGGTTTTTTAGTGAGCTTGTTATGTTTTGATCCGGGCTTGGGACCGGCATATAATTTATATTGCATGTTAATATAAACCTCTACCAAATGGTATACCAATACAGTAGAACCTCTCTGTAAAGGATACCTAATTGCAGAGCTTAAGTGTCCTTTAGGGAAAAGTATCCTCTTACCAGAGAGTTACTAGTAAAAATGGTAATTTTGCAAATGAAAACTGTCCTTTGTAGAGAGGTGTCCTACCTCACGGAGGTTCTACTGTACTTTATAAGTTCACCAGACAATGACTTTCCAGAATGGTTGCAAGGTTTTCCCACTATGTACTAAGTGTCAACCTGCAATCTCCAAAAAATACATTATTGACTGTATTGACTCATCCATTGATGAGCTCTACTCATCCCCAGCAGACACCATCAACAAGCTTTAAAAGCTTGATACCCTGATATGATTGAGTGGAGATAAGAAAGAAGAAGACATTATTGACTGTATTGACTCATCCATTGATGAGCTCTACTCATCCCCAGCAGACACCATCAACAAGCTCTACAAGCTTGATACCCTGATATGATTGAGTGGAGATAAGAAAGAAGAAGACATTATTGACTGTATTGACTCATCCATTGATGAGCTCTACTCATCCCCAGCAGACACCATCAACAAGCTTTAAAAGCTTGATACCCTGATATGATTGAGTGGAGATAAGAAAGAAGAAGATATAAGTTCATTAACAAATTGTTTATAGCTACAAGAGAATTCGACTTTCTTCAAGAGCATCAGCAGATACACCCCCATACCTCTTCATACAGAACACCAAGGATTAGAAAAAATAAGACCAAATCCAAATAAATTAATAGTGTGTGATGTTTCGGTAACAGCGTTGTTACCATCATCAAAGATTAAAATTATTCCTATCTTCTTCTTTCTTGTCTCCACTCAATCATATTAGGGTATCAAGTTGTGATCCTTGATGGTGTCTGTTTGACAACCATCATGACTGGGTAAAGTAGAATGCGTCTACCTTTGTCATTAAGACTGGGAGCACTACTCAGTGGCAGGCCGACTTAGCTCCAAAAGAAATGGCCGCCTCTGACATGAGGAACTTATTATTATAGTCCTATTATTATTCTTTATTATTCTTTTGTATGAGGATGGTATCAACGCTGTTACCGAAACGTCACACACTATTTATTTATTTATTTTGATTTGGTCTTTTTTCCTTGTTGCATTGAAGAAGACAACCATTACCAATAACATATTCAATATTATATAAACACAAGGTAATAAGACCCAATCCAAATAAATAAATAGTGTGTAACGTTTCGGTAACAGCATTGTTACCATCTTCAGATAAAAGTACTGAATGGTTTAGATACTACACACAGAGTACAGGTACAGATTCAGTACTTTTGTCTGAAGATGGTAATAACGCTGTTACTGAAACATCACACACTATTTATTTGGATTTGGTCTTATTCCCTTGTGTTTATGCTGTGTTATTTTTCCTAATTCAGTACTTTTGTCTGAAGATGGTAACAACGCTGTTACCGAAACGTCACACACTATTTATTTGGATTTGGTCTTTTTTCCTTGTTGCATTGAAGAAAACAACACACACACACACTACCAATAACATCTTCAATATTATATAAGTTCATAAACAAATTGTATTTAGGTGATAATGTACAATTTGAATTATAGATTATAAACACAAGGTAATAAGACCAAATAAATAAATAGTGTGTGACGTTTCGGTAACAGCGTTGTTACTGATCAGTACTTTTGTCTGATGATGGTAACAACGCTGTTACCAAAACGTCGCACATTATTTATTTATTTGTATTTGGTCTTATTACCTTGTGTTTAGAAGGCATTACAATTTTGTATAAACATTAGATAAAGGTTTGGTGCCAACCGAAATATTGGCAAATAAATCTTTTATTATATATAAAACTAATATATGCCTTTTTATTATCTAATAAAAAATAAGTGTATATTACGTTGCACATTTAGCTGCACATGAGTTGTTGTTGTTACTTATCCCCTTGTGTATAGATTGTATGAATTCTGCACATGAGTGGTGTGTTCAGGTGCACATCATTGGACACATTCCCCCTGGTACCATGGACTGTCTATCTGAATGGAGCCGTAACTTCTACAAGATTATCAATAGGTGAGTCTTCCTCCTGTCAGAGTGAAAGTTGGGGAGTGCTTGACTAGACTGTCAGTACTGCCACTCAGGGTTTGAAATATCTTTCTTAATACAAATCTCTTCTTCTTCTTCTTTCTTATCTCCACTCAATCATATTAGGATATCAAGTTGTGACCCTTGATGGTGTCTTTTTGACAACCATCATGACTGTGTGAATTAGAATGCGTCTGCCTTTGTCATTAAGACTGGGAGCACTACTCAGTGGCAGGCTGACTTAGCTCCAAAAGATATGGCCGCCTCTGACATGAGGAACAGACGCCATGTGCAGCTGCTCCTAACATGGAGTACAAATGCTGCTCATCCTGTATCCCTGGATTAGGGGCCCTTACAGGGTACTATCAGCCGGGCCAGCTGAACCCAGGTTTTTTACCGAGCTTGTTACTGCTCCCCCTCCTCCTTTTTCATCCGGGCTTGGGACCGGCAAAGGCGGAGTTCTTAATACAAATACAGTAGAACCTCCCAACTCCGCCTTTGCCGGTCCCAAGCTCGCTTAAAAACCTGGGCTCAGCTGGCCCAGCTGATAGTACCCTGTAAGGTCTCCTAATCCAGGGATACAGGATGAGCAGCGTTTGTACTCCATGTTAGGAGCGGCTGCACATGGCGTCTGTTCCTCATGTCAGAGGCAGCCATTTCTTTTAGAGCTAAGTCAGCCTGCCACTGAGTAGTGCTCCCAGTCTTAATGACAAAGACAGATGCATCTACTTCACCCAAAGATTATTGACTGTATTGACTCATCCATTGATGAGCTCTACTCATCCCCAGCAGACACCATCAAAAGTCTCAAGCTTTACGAGCTTGATACCCTAATATGATTGAGTGGAGATAAGAAAGAAGAACCTCCCTGTAAAGAACACCTAATTGAAGACCCAAAGTGTCCTTTAGAGAGAGGTGTCATCTTACTGGAGAGTTGATTAATAGTAAAAATTGTAATTTTGACAATGAAAACTGTCCTGATATGGCACAATTTGGATTATAGATAATAAAACAAGGTAATAAGACCAA